ACTTTATCATGCGAGAGTATAAAATGTTCGGTGATACCCGAACTTAGCCCTTCCTTACTTGTTTATTTTTGAATTTTTGCTTTATTCTTGTGATGTTAATAAATAATTCTTAGAAAATTAGGTAGCAAAAATATTAAGTGCATTTAAGGAAATCAAGTCCTTAGAATGGAATACACCCATAAGTACATTTTTTTCACTTTTTTCACAACTCAAGTAACTCCAACACTGTTCAGCTATAAGTGATGAAAGTTCTTATTTCCGCTAATCCTCCATTCCTCGTTTTTGTCATTAAAAATTATTTCTAGCTTTTTCGTCAAAAAAAAGAAATAGTAACTTCTAAGCTCAATCGAATGCTTATCTAAACAAGAATTGTTTAAAAAAATCAACAAAAATAGCAGAAGTAAATATTTACAATTTTCACATGGCTTTCATAAATTAAATGATTGAGATCCAAACAAATTTATATGTGAATCCTTTCAATTCTTCTATAATTACAATAGGGTTGAGAGCGTTTCTAATTTGTTCTGTTTTAAGCTTGCTTAAAATGACCTCTACAAGAAATTCTGAATTTCGTTTTTGTGCAATCAAGAATCTCCTCTTCTTATTACATTATCAGAAATGTTGTTCACATTTTCTCCTACCTTTTTCTGATTCGAAGCATTTTGTCAAGAAGAAACAATTCCAATCAGTGCTCGGCCACTAAACGGCCATCGAATTTGTTAAGCACACAAATGCAAGTTTTGAGTTTCGGTAAACACTTCCGCTGAACAAATTGAAATCGAACATACATCTTCAGAAAACAAGCGTAACCATTTCTGTCGAAATCCATAGCAAGCTGCAAAGCAATCCAATCTAAATCAATTGCCTTGGTCGACGACAAGATTGGCGGTTCCAGCGCAGTTGTTATTGTTACTGGCCACAACAATCACGCTTTGTTGATATTTGTTGATAGTGAGTCACTTATTGTTCTTGCTATTTTTGCTGGTGTTTTAGCGATTGTTTCTAAGTTCTTACAATTGATTGACTACTTGTTGTTTCAAGCAAGTACAACAACAGCATCGTTTGAATTAGTAATTTGCGACCGTTGCTATACACTCCAGCCTGCCAAAATCTTTCTGGACGTGTTTACATTTTCCAGTTTGGTGTTCTTTTTTCGAGAACGTTCTCTCACTTCTTCTGTATTTCTTACTTCTAGTCGTGGCTGCATTTTTTCGTTTATTCGAGTATTAGTTTTTTTTTTCGTTTTTTCGAAATCAGCCGCCACTTGGCTAATGGATTCGTTTGTTTTCATTGGCAGTGCTAAAGGTTGGAACAGTAAAAAAGCAACAACAAACCGCCAAGCGCAAGTAAATACACATGTTGTTTACCGTAAACTTGCTCATACACTTCGGCCGTCTTCTGTCTATCACTCTGCGGAAGTGATTTATTATGTAAATATTTATGCATTTCAGTTACAATTCACTTTAATTTCTTAATGAGTTTGGCGAGCGAGAAAGCTTTAAAATAATTTTCTTCACTTTTTACTCATGGAACTGCAGCGAAACATCTTAATAAAAACTGATGTAAAATTTCACAAGTTTCGTTAATAAAGACTGCTGTCATATGCACTTCGCTCAATGAGTTGATGGATATGTATAGTATTTATATTGAGACTGCTGAAATATGTGTAAAGAGAAGATAAAACGTTAACTTCGGTTGCACCGATGCCATAATACCCTTCACAAATAAAAAATATGACTGACTAGAACTTGATTCCGATCATATAGTTTGTATGGCAGCTTTATGCTATAGTGATCCAATATCGGCAGTTCGGACAAACCAGCAGCTTATTTAGGGAAAATGTAAAGATGGACACACCTTAATAAACTCAGCTCGTTATGCTGAACATATAAAATATAAAGGAACTGCGACGATTTCTTCTGAATGATACAAAATTTGTGCCACCCACAAGGGTATAATTAGTGGATAAAAAAATGTGCATATCTGTACCTAAAAAATTATGTTATTATATGAAATTTCATTCATGTTCTAAGCCCACTCCTCTTGCAGTCAGTAACACTATTCCTGTAGCATCAGAGACCTATTTTCCCTCTTTCTCTCTCTATCATAAATATGCTAATTGCTTGTAGTTATAGTCAACACAGGAGCGTTAAGGGTTACATGGGTTTGCTCGAATAAAAAAACAGCCTTTTCAGTTTTTACTCTTATAAAAAATTATTATACACTATTAACAAAAGAATTCTGAAATTTTTTGAAAAAAAAATTTTTAACTCGGTCATTGCGATGCCATTTCCGGTGACCTTTCGGAAAAAATATGCGCCCGCGTTGGCAGGATAACTTCTTACTTTCTAAAGTGAAAGAAAAATACGTGTTTTAGTTAAAACATTTACTTAGAATTTGGACGAAGCAAAAAATTAAAATTGGGTTTTTGCCAGAAAAAAATCCTTTGCCCAAGTTTTTAGGCATTCTATCTCAAATAACTGTGTAAAATTTCATGAAAATTGTTTGAGTAGTATCTTGCCAATCGACTTCAAAAATACAGTTTCCAGAACTCATAAGTTCACAAGGCTCTATTACGGAGACTATTACTCGAATCAACTTGAAAATTTAGGACAATATTCTATAGATATGTACTTGAATAAAACTAGAAAAAATCTTGAAAACTGAACACCCATGTAACGTCTTAAGCCAGCGAGAGAGCAGTCGTAATAAAATTTTTGTATGGTATGGAAAGCTAAGCTAAACCTTCGCCGTAGAAAATTGATGATGAAATATAGTTGTAGTTGTTGATGGAACAACGATTTTTTCTTCAGACTCTATAGGAAAGGGGAAACATTTTTATTGCTTCAACTTCTTAAGCTCGTCGTCGTTTGGCTCACATTTCATCCACCGAACGATTTGTTTACCGAATTCGCCCATTAATTCCACCGATTGTCGTCTTCCAGGTAGTTGATGTAAAATTCAAAGGCAGGGATGTCTTCAAATTCTTCAATCTATATTGTTCAGGTTAAGCCCATTACTGGGACTTGGTCTCGGGTCTTCTGAAATATGTATTGTCTCAACCATCTCTCAAATTTCCCACACGATATCCTGGACTTTTATCACGTTATTCTTCTTGAAAGCCGGTACACGTTATAATATTTCTCTTGCGATATTGGTTTCACCTGGCGGTGAAACTAAAAACTTACCGCTTACTTAAAATATCAATTCCTACTAATAGGCCAAATAAATCATAATCCGCAATGGGTGCACATTGAAGTTTAGAGCAATAACAACAAGCGGAGTATCTATTGAAGAAATTTTAATTTCTTTTCCATTAAACAATTGCGACACTTTTCATAATGAACCACTGGAAACACAATAGCTGAAGTGACTGAAATCATTATTTTTATCGGTCAGAATTATTTTTCATTTTTATACAAAACAGTTTGATTGGAATTCAGAAAGAATACATATCATGATTCATAATAACAGTTAATGAAGCTAAAGATTTGTTGCACTTCTCCAACCATCTATTAGATCTATTTGCAGTTAGTTTTAAACATAGATTAGAAGGATATAAAATTTTAAATATTAAGTTAAAAAAAAAATCAAAATAAAATCAATTCTTCAATTAGATGAAAATATAGAAAAATAAAATAAAATACATAATATTAAACACCATATATAATTAAAAGTTTAAGCTAA